CCCCTTCCCCCCCCATTCACTCCTCCACTCCCCCTCCCCTCTCCTCTCTCTCTCCCTCCCTATCTCTAATATTTCTCCACCATTTACTCTCCCTATCTATCCCCTATTTTCTCCCCCTTATCTCTCCTATCTCTCCCCTCTATCACCCCCCTCTCTTCTCTATCCCCCCTATTTCTACCCTATTCATAATCTAATCCCCCCCTCTCTCTCCCCCCCTCTCTCACCTCCCCCTCTACCCACACTCTCTCCCCCTCTCTCTCCCCCCCTCCTCCCACACCCCCCCCACCCAAACAATAACACATCAAAAACCCTTCACTATAAACACATTTTTCCCCCTCCCATTCTTCATCCCTATACATTCCCCTTCCATATATCTCTCTCTCTACATCTCTCTCTTACCCCTCTCTCTTCTCTCTCTCTCCCCTCTTATCTTTCTCCTACTCTCACTTACCATTCTTCCACCCCTCTCCCCTATAAAACTCCAATCTCATACCTTACCCCCCACTCCTACCCTCAACCCATACCCCCCCATCCCTATTCTCCTTTCCCATACCCCCCCCTCATTCTATACCCACCCCACCTTTATATCATTCCTCATACCACACCACCAATCCCCCCCCCCCCCCCCCTATCCACCCCCAACCACCCAACCCCCCAATAAACAACCCATCAACCCCCCCCCCCCCCATACAACCCCATCCCTCCAAAACCACCCTCCCCCCACCCCCCCCTATCTCACCACACCACCCAACCACACACTTCCCTAAACCCCACTAAACCCAAAACCCCCCCCCCCCCCCCCTCTACCATATACCCCCCCCCCCATCCCCCCAACCCCCCCCCACACAACCCCCCCCCCCAACCCCCCACCCACCCACCCACCCAAACACTAACCCACCAACCCCCCTATCTTTCCCCACCATTTACAACAACCCCAAACACCCCCCCTTCCTACCCCCCCCCACTACACACCTTACACACCAACATAACCACTACACTCCAAACTACAACTCTACATTAATTAAATAAATCAATAATAACTCTACACTACCATAACACATCATCCACCCACCTAACCAACCATTAACCCCTTCCACCAAAACTACTCCTCACCTCAACAAACCTATCCTCTCTCTACTCCACCTTACTACACCACCACATCCTTTCCTCAAAAACCCTAACCTACTCAATACTACTAACTAACTACACTACACTCCACTCCCATCTCACACTCCACACATACACTCTATCAACATAACACAACATATCAACTCAACATCACTACCCCTACACACCACATCACCACTACTTCCATCACACACACCACTACATAACTATACATATACAACAACAACTAACACCCCAAACCCCCCCACTACCACACCACACCACACCACAACCACCCAACCTCACACAAACCAAACCACACCAACCACACCAACCCCCCACCAACCCACCCAACCCCCCACCCAACCCCACAAATTCCCAAACCCCACCCCCTAAACACACCCTAACCATCAATTTCCCAAACCCCAACAACACCCCCCCCCAACCCATCCACCCAACACAAACCACAACCCATTCCACCCCTCAATCCCCCAAAACCACACCCCCCCACCCCCAACAACCCCCCCCCACACCACAAAACAAAACCCCCCCCCCCCCCCACCCCAAACCACAATACCCCATACCCACCCAAACAAACACCCCCCCCCAAACCCCACCCACCCCACCACACCCCCAAAACCACCCCACACCTACCCACCCCCCCCCCCCCAAACCCACTACACCCACCAAACCAAAACCCCCCACCACAACACCCCCCCCACCCCCCCCCCCACCCCCCCCCACACCCACAAACCACCCCCACCCCCCCCCCCAACCCCCCCCCACCCCCCCCCCCAACCCCCTAACCCCACCACCCCACCCACCCACCCCCCCCCCCCCCCCCCACCCCCCCACAACCACCCCCCACCCACCCACCACACCCCCCCCCCCACAACCCCCCCACCCAACCCCCACACCCCCCCACAACCCCCCCCCACCCACCCCACACCCCACCCAAACACCCCCAACCACCCCACCCCACCAAAACCCCTCCAACCCCCCCCATACCCCCCCCCCCCCCCCCACCAAACACCCCCACACAAACCCCCACCCCCTCACCCCCCCACCCCCCCCCCCCCACCCCACATCACACCAAACCACAACCACCCCCCCACACCCACAAACCCACTACCACCAACCCCCCCCCAAAACACCAAACCCACCAAAACAACCCACCCAACCAACCCCCCACACCCCCCCCCCCCCCCCCACAACACACACCAACCACCCCCCCACCACCCCCCCCCCAACCAACAACACCAACACACACCCCACCAACACCCCCACAACCCACACACCCCCAACCCCCACCCCCCCCCACACCCCCCCCCCCCACCCCCAAACCAAACACCCCCCCAACCACCCCCCCCCCCCAAACCCCCCCACACACAACCCCACCAACCCCCACCCCCAACCCCCAACCACCAACCCCCCACCCCACACCACACACCCCCACACCAACCCACCCCCCACCCCCCCCAACACTCCACCACACACCCCCCCCCCCACCCCTAACCCACCAACCCCACCCAACACCCCCCCAACCCCCACCCCCCCCCACCACCCCAACCACACCAAAACTCCTAACCAACACCCACACCCACCACCCCCCACCCAACTCCCAACCCCACCCACCACACCAACCCCCCCCACCCACCAAAACAACCACCCCCCCCAACACCCCCCCCAAAACAAACAACACCCAACAACCCCCACCACCCCCCAACCACCCCAACCATCCAAACCTCCCACCCCCCCCCACAAACAAACACATCCCCCACAACCCCAAACCAACCCACACAACTCAACCCACCCCCCCCCACCCCCCCACCAAACCCACACCCCCACCCCCCCAACACACCCCCCCAAAACCCCCCCCAAAACCATAACACCCCACCCCACCCACCCCAACACCCAAAAAAACCCCCCCCACCCCCCACAAAAACCAAAAATCCCCCAAAAAACAACACCACCCCCCACCACACACACTACCCCCCACCCCCCCCCCCCCATCCCCCACCCAATCCCCCCCCCCCCATCCACCCCCCCCCCCCACCCCCACCCACCCCACACCACACCACCACCCCCCCCCTCAAACCCCCAAACACCCCCCCAACCCCCCCCCAACACCACAAACCCATTACCTACCCCCCAACAATACACTCATACCATTCCAATCACCCATCTTACCCCACACAACACCCATTCCTACCCAATATACCCCCCCCCAAAATACAGCATACTACGCTTGACAACTGATTAGGTATTCCAATGAACGTTTGGTTCATAAACTTCTGTAATGATACTGCCCACCCCCCTAAAAACATATGTACAGCTTCGCTCACAGCTAACCAACAGAGCATTAAGATCTGTGTCCAGGGAACTGCAATGTTCCTAAGAAAATCGCCTTCTCTCAATCACCTTTTCCTACAAAGCACTAAAGAATGGAATGGGCTCCCAGACAATCAAATGAACAATGCAGATTCCACAGTTTTTCACGGGCAGTTAAAGACTGGCTTTAGATCAACAGTCCTGCTCGCACTAAAAGTACCAGATGGGTACAGTGGCCATCAGGTGTTACCCCGGGGTATCGTCTGATGGCCACCCACATCACCACATTATTAGTGTTAAAAACTATTGTTCTATGTGCTAAGTAAGTATAGCTACAAAATATTATGAAAACTGTTGCACGCTTTATCATTCGCACTTTATGAACGCAACATGCACATTTCTCTGCACTTTACTATATATTGCATGTTTATTGTCTATGTTTGTATTGTAATTAACCTGCTATGTATTTTTAATTGTAATTTTGATTGTATAAGGACTACAGATGGAAATTAGCATTGTGCTAAATCTGGGGCAGCCATCTTTTTAATGTACCTGTCCGTTGTCCTTTAAATAAATAATAAACTAAAACTAAACTACAAATTTCAAACGATTGCTCCACTCTCCCTGTGGACAGAGTAAAAGAAAATGCTGGATGAGTGGGGGAGGGGGGAGTGGTTTTTGGTGGAAGGAGGGAGGGGGGGAAGTGGTTTGGTGAGAGGGAGGGGAGGGGGTAGTGGTTAGGTGGAGAAGGGAGGGGAGGGGGAGATGGGTTTTGGTGGAGAGGGGGAGGGGAGGGGGGAGTGGTTTGGTGGATCGTGCGTGGCTTGTGGGGAGGATTGTAGCGCCTGGCGGGGCGTGGGGAAGTAGTATAAGGAGTGCGAGGGAGGGTCGGGGGGCTAGGAAATGTGGCGAGGCAGGGTAGCTGGGATAGGAATGTGTGGAGAGTGAGTGTGCGGGTGTAGTGGAATATAAGTGCCCAGGTGCGGTTAAGGTGGGAGAGTTTAAGTGGAGAGTCGAGTGGGAGGGGGCGTAGGAACGAGGAGAGCGGTCGTGTAGGGGGCTAGGTTTAAAGAGGCAGCTGGTCGTGGGAGTGGGGATTTGGATAAAATGTGGATGCTGGCCTTGTGAGTGGTGGCGATGAATAGTTGTGAGCTTGGCTTGTAGGTGGCGTGGTTTCTATTGGCTGTTCGTGTCGAGTTGGGCGATGTAATATACCTAGCCCCGGGCTTTGTCGGTTTGTCGTGTAAATCTGAGCGACATCTTTGCTTTGGATCTAGTTAACGTTGTCAGCTTCTCGGTGTGTCTTGTGGTGCTATGAATACTAGTGCTCTGGTGGCGGGTTCTTTGTTGTCAGATTAAACTATGCGATAGGCCGCGTGGCGGTGTGCTGAGTAAAACGATCCCCGTTCGGGGCTTGTGTGTAGAGTAAACTTTTCTCTTTCATGTGCGGGGTTCTATTAAACATCACCTTTCGTTGCTTGGGGCTATTAAAAACTAGCTCGGGCGGGTCTGTTTGATATGGTAAAATAGCTGCCCGTTTCGGTTCTGTTGGCGTTTAAACTATGCCCCGGCTGTTGCAGTTGGTGCTATGTAACGAGGTGCTTGGCTTTTCTTTGTGGACTATGAAAGTATTCGCTGTTCCTGTGTTTCGTGTGCTGAGTGTAATCCCGAATGATCTACGGCGCATCAACCAACAACCCGAACTTGTTCTCCTGTTCATAGCTGCTTACATGGAGCCAAATTCAACCTAACCGCCACCCCAACAGTATGCAAGATTGACACTGCACCCAAACAAAATCAATGAGAAATCAACCTAAAACAACGTCCCACCGCTACATAACTCACACATCCAGCGCTCCCCCTCACAGACCCCCACTCCCCAAACCACAAGACCTCCCGCCACCCCCGCCACCCTGATACCCGTCGAACTTCCTCGACCGCCCCAACCACCCCAATTCCCCACCCGATCACCACTCAGCCCCCCCGACCACACACAACGCCATCATCCCCTCCCCCCAACGTCCCCACGAACACGACACCCCCCACCCCAACGCCCCCTCCAGCCCACAACACCCCAAACCGTCCTCCCCGGCGCTTAGATCCCTACCGGAACCCCCTCACCCCACCCCCCCCCCCCCCCCCCCTTGCTCCTTGCTGTCACAGAGAACAAGTGGCGTTTGGAGGAGGCAAGAGTGAGTCTCCGTGGGCCTCGCGTGAGAAGAAGAGCACTCAGAGTTCCATCAGGAGCACAGTAATGAGATCCGTCACTTCCCGAGCTTTCCCGTCTGAGAAACAGAAGTGCGTTGTCTCCTCGTTTCAATGTCAATTTATGGCAGCGCATTTGAACTCCTCGGTCTCAGTCCCTGGGTTCAGTCGCAGAGTCTGTTTTAGGTTCTGTCTGATTTCTCTCACGATGAAGAGTTTAAAGAGAAGCTAGCGTTGGATTTGTCTGATGCGTGTTGTGTTTCCGTTGTGCGTCCAGTGTGGGAGTCTATACCAGTGTTTCTCAACCAGTGTGCCTCGGCCAGACAGTGTGGGAAATGATCCAATGTTAGCAAAATTGGCTTAAAAGTAAGAAACCAATGTGAGAAGATTGCTAATATGTTTGTATAATGTGTGATAATGAAACACATCTGTAATCATTCTGCATTTTTGATTAAGAATGTGATCAAGTTTTATTTTTGCGACTAATTTGGAAAAGGTGCACCACGCCGCAGAAAAGTTGGGGAACACTGTTTGTATAACTCTGTGGCCGGTGCTGATTGGTGAATTCTCAAAGTTAGACGCACAAAAACCAGCATTTTCGTCTGGACCCATAAATGATCTATATTTAAGCCCCGGCGGTCTGCTGAGGTGGTGATGGGACTGCATGTAGACCGGGACCAGAGGGGTCAGACCGGTTTGAGTCCGGTTATGTTGCATAGTCTGATTTATCTTCCCATGTAAGCGGGTTGACTCATTTAACTAATCCAAATACTACCTAAATTAACTGATTTAAAAAAAATACATGTCCAAAAGTTAGTAGCCAATGAGGCCCATTCACAGTAAAAACAACCTTTGGAATCCAGTCCTTACCTTTATTTGTAAAACTGACTGATTTGTTTTGGATCGTGTCGTGAGTAGGGCTGAAACAACTAATCGATTAATCGACGACTAATCGATTATTGAAATAGTCGACAACTATTTTAGTAATCGATTAATCGTTTTCTGGTTCACACGGACTCAAACAGAGAAAAAATTACATGAAAATGTAGTATTTTTGATTAAAACCGACTTTGTTTTTATAATTTCATGAATATCTGTCTGTCTCATCCAATCAGAGCAGAATTAGCACAAAGAGCCTGTTACAAACATTTACTTTAAGTTTACGCCTCAATACGTCCTCGAGTGTTGCCACTTTAGCTTTTTGTGATGAAAAAATATTTTTTTTCTACACAATTCACAGCCGAGCGATTACTCGATTAATCGTAAAAATAATAGATAGATTAATTGATTACAAAATAATCGTTAGTTGCAGCTCTAGTCGTGAGATTCTATAGCTGGCAGTAATGTAGAGTCACTCTGGGTTTTTAGAGTCATTCCAACGTCATTCAACAACATTTTTGGACATGCGTCTCTGCTCCTGATGGATCAATGGCTTCATGTGTTTTTATCGTTGCTTTTCCTGTGTTTGAACCGTTTGATTCTCTGATCTGCTGTTGGCGAATCAGCAGTTTTGTAAAGTCCTCTGACATAACTACTGCTGTGATTTACGGCGATATACAAATAAGTTGCGTTGAATTCAGTTAAAGCTTCCAAATCCACTCATAATAGTTTTAAATCCATGAGTGTGGTGAACTAACGTGGCCTTGTTACTAAAAAGTTTGGACACCCCCGATGCATGTGTGTGTGTGTGTGTGTCGTCCGGACTCTTGTGTCGAGTGTGTTTGTGAAAGTGTGGTGTCATGTAAAGTGTGTGTGTGTGTGTGTGTGTGTCGTCCGGACTCTTGTGTCGAGTGTGTTTGTGAAAGTGTGGTGTCATGTAAAGTGTGTGTGTGTGTGTGTGTGTCGTCCGCACTCTTGTGTCGAGTGTGTTTGTGAAAGTGTGGTGTCATGTAAAGTGTGTGTGTGTGTGTGTGTGTCGTCCGCACTCTTGTGTCGAGTGTGTTTGTGAAAGTGTGGTGTCATGTAAAGTGTGTGTGTGTGTGTGTCGTCCGGACTCTTGTGTCGAGTGTGTTTGTGAAAGTGTGGTGTCATGTAAAGTGTGTGTGTGTGTGTGCGGCAGAGTCCACGGTCTTCATCCCGTCTGCGGTCTACAACATCGAGGAAGACATCGGTGAGCTGTTTGTCCCGGTGAGGAGGAGCGGGGACGTCAGCCAGGAGCTCATGGTGGTCTGCTACACACACCAAGGTAATAACATCACCTCATGGTGGTCTGCTACACACACCAAGGTAATAAAATCACCTCATGATGGTCTGCTACACACACCAAGGTAATAACATCACCTCATGGTGGTCTGCTACACACACCAAGGTAATAACATCACCTCATGGGGGTCTGCTACACACACCAAGGTAATAACATCACCTCATGATGGTCTGCTACACACACCAAGGTAATAACATCACCTCATGAGGGTCTGCTACACACACCAAGGTAATAACATCACCTCATGATGGTCTGCTACACACACCAAGGTAATAACATCACCTCATGAGGGTCTGCTACACACACCAAGGTAATAACATCACCTCATGGTGGTCTGCTACACACACCAAGGTAATAACATCACCTCATGGTGGTCTGCTACACACACCAAGGTAATAACATCACCTCCTGCTGCTCCGTTCTGTGTTTGAGGAAGTCTCAGAACTGCTTTGTAAATAGAAGTACTTGAGTATTTGAGCACAGTACAGTTACTTTAGGCCGACCATCTCCATCTCTGTGGCTGCTCATTCTGATGACTACATTCTGCCAATAATTCACGATGTATTAAACATTTAAATTGTTATTAATACATATGAAATATTATGGTTTAAGTTCTTACACACTACATATTTGTAAATGCAGTGACATGAGGCCAACCTCTGGTGGACTTTGGAATTCATTTATTTATGCAAATTAAAGTCAGTAAAATCAGCAGATTTTAAATATCTGAAAAACATCACCAGGGAAATAAATAGTCTAAAGAAGATTTGGAGATTCTTATCTCACTTTAATCTCCAGTGTTGGACTGTACTGGCTGCTCTCTGGTTTCTCCAAACAACTCTGAAATATCTGCAGTATTTTCAAAACTCTACAGCTCGAGTCCGGACTAGAACCAGGAAGTACCATCACATTAGTCCTGACTAGAACCAGGAAGTACCATCACATTAGTCCTGGTCCTAGGTCTCTGCACCTGTGGCTCAGAGAGGAGACTTTAAGAGCCCCATGAACCAACTCTGAAGAGCACAGGGACTGGCCTCCTGCTGGGACTCTGAGGAGCACAGGGACTGGCCTCCTGCTGGTCCCAGAGTCAGGACTAAACATGAGGAGGCAGCGTTTGAGATTTATAATGCTAAAGCCTAGAACAGTCTTCCTGTAAATGTGAGACAGTTTTATTCTCTGTTCAAATGTTCAAATCCAGGTTAAAACACTTCTGTTTTGCTGCAACGACTGAAGGATTGTATCTTCTTCCTGTACATTTCTTTCTTTTCTCTTATTTTGTCACACACTATGAGTTGTGTATGAACTGTATAATAATAATAATAATCTTTTTTTGTATAGCACTTTTCAAAAATAATGTTTACAAAGCGCTGCACATTCAGTCATTAATATCCATCCATCCATCCATTTTCTTCCGCTTTATCCGTTGTCGGGTCGCGGGGGCAGCAGTCTAAGCAGAGACGCCCAGACTTCCCTATCCACACACACCTCCTCCAGCTCGTCCGGGGGGACCCCAAGGCGTTCCCAGGCCAGCTGCGAGACATAGTCCCTCCAGCGTGTCCTGGGTCTTCCGCGGGGCCTCCTCCCGGTGGGACGTGCGCGGAACACCTCCCCAGGGAGGCATCCAGGAGGCATCCGGAACAGATGCCCGAGCCACCTCAACTGGTTCCTCTCGACGTGGAGAAGCAGCGGCTCTACTCCGAGCTCCTCCCGTGTGACTGAGCTCCTCACCCTATCTCTAAGGGAGCGCCCAGCCACTCTGCGGAGGAAGCTCATTTCGACCGCTTGTATCCGCGATCTCGTTCTTTCGGTCATTACCCAAAGCTCATGACCATAGGTGAGGGAGGGAACGAAGATTGACCGGTAAATTGAGAGCTTTGCCTTTCGGCTCCGCTCCCTCTTTACCACAACGGTCCGATACAGCTCTGACTGCAGACGCTGCTCCCTCTTTACCACAACGGTCTGACAGAGCTCTGACTGCAGACGCTGCTCCCTCTTTACCACAACGGTCCGATACAGCGACCGCATCACTGCGCACGCTGCACCGATCCGCCTGTCAATCTCACGCTCCATCCTTCCCTCACTCGTGAACAAGACCCCGAGATACTTGAACTCCTCCACTTGAGAAAGGACCTCTCCACCCACCTGCAGAGGGCAAGGCACCTTTTTCCGGTCGAGCACCATGGCCTCGGATTTGGAGGTGCTGATTCTCATCCCAGCCGCTTCACACTCGGCTGCAAACCGCCCCAGTGCATGTTGCAGGTCCTGGTTCGTTGGAGCCAACAGGACAACATCGTCCGCAACATTCACCGGGAACAGGTCTGACTTACTGCCGGCAATGCGAACACAGCTCTGGCTCCGGTCATACAAGGATCGGATGGCCCTCAGCAGAGGACCCCCGACCCCGTACTCCCGGAGAACCCCCCAAAGGACACCCCGGGGAACACAGTCGAACGCCTTCTCCAAATCCACAAAACACATGTGGACAGGTTGGGCGAACTCCCATGAACCCTCGAGTATCCGATGGAGAGTATAGAGCTGGTCCAGTGTTCCGCGACCGGGACGAAAACCACACTGCTCCTCCTGGATCCGAGATTCGACCATCGGCCGTAACCTACTCTCCAGTACCCTGGAGTAGACCTTACCGGGGAGGCTGAGGAGTGTGATCCCACGATAATTGGAACACACCCTCCGGTCCCCCTTCTTGTAGAGAGGGACCACCACCCCGGTCTGCCACTCCATTGGCACTGCCCCCGATCGCCACGCGATGTTGCAGAGACGTGTCAGCCAAGACAGTCCTACAACATCCAGAGACTTTAGATAATCAGGGCGGATCTCATCCACACCCGGAGCCTTGCCACCATGGAGGCTGCCAACCACCTTGGTGTGACCTCAGCCAGGGAGATGGATGTATCCGCCCCAACATCCTCAGCCTCTGCCTCTGTAACAGAGGACGTGACGGGGGGATTGAGGAGAACCTCAAAGTATTCCTTCCACCGCCCGACAATATCCCCAGTCGAGGTCAGCAGCTCTCCACCCGCACCGTACATGGTGTTGGCAAAGAACTGCTTCCCCCTCCTGAGGCGCCGGATGGTTTGCCAGAATCTCTTCGAGGCCGACCGATAGTCATGCTCCATGGACTCTCCGAACTCCTCCCAGTCCCGGGTTTTTGCCTCTGCAACAGCCCGGCCGCGGCACGCTTGGCCTGCCGGTACTGGACAGCTGCCTCAGGAGTCCCCCGAACCATCATGGCTCGATAGGACTCCTTCTTCAGCCTGACAGCATCCCTTACTGCCGGTGTCCACCACCGGGTTCGGGGGTTGCCGCCGGGACCAGCACCAGAGACCTTGCGACCACAGCTACGAGCCGCCGCATTGGCGATTGAGGCAGAGAACATGGTCCACTCGGACTCCATGTCCCCCTCCTCCGCCGGGACCTGGGAGAAACTCTCCCGGAGGTGCGAGTTGAAAGCGAGACGTTCAGCGAGACGTTCCCAGCAGACCCTCACTATACGCTTGGGTCTGCCAGGTCTGACCGGCTTCTTCCCCTGCCAGCGGATCCAACTCATCGACCAGGTGATGATCGGTTGACAGCTCCGCCCCTCTCTTTACCCGAGTGTCCGAGACACGCGGTCGAAGGTCAGATGATACGACAACAAAGTCGATCATCGACCTCCGGCCTAGGGTGTCCTGGTGCCACGTGCACTGGTGGACACCCTTGTGCTCGAACATGGTGTTCGTGATGGACAAACTGTGACTGGCACAGAAGTCCAACAACTGAACACCGCTCGGGTTCAGATCAGGGGGGCCGTTCTTCCCGATCACCCCTCTCCAAGTGTCACTGGCGACTCCCACATGGGCGTTGAAGTCCCCCAGGAGAATAACGGAGTCCCCGGGCGGTGCACCGTCCAGTACCCCTCCCAAGGACTCCAAGAAGGCCGGGTACTCTGCACTGCTGTTAGGCCCGTAGGCCGTCACAACAATGAGAGACTTGTCCCCCACCCGGAGGCGGAGGGACGCGACCCTCTCATTCACCGGGGAGAACTCCAACACATGGCGGCTGAGATGGGGGGCAATGAGAATGGCCACCCCAGCTCGCCGCCTCTCCCCGCGGGAAACTCCAGAAAAGTGGAGCGTCCAACCCCTCTCAAGGAGTTGGGTTCCAGAGCCCAAGCTGTGTGTGGAGGTAAGGCCGACTATCTCTAGTCGGTATCGCTCAACCTCCCCCACGAGCTCGGGCTCCTTCCCCCCCAGTGAGGTGACGTTCCACGTCCCAAGAGCCAGATGTTGTGTGTGCGGACTGGGTCGCCGAGGTCTCCGCCTTCGACTGCTGCCCAGTCCTCTTAGCACCTCGCCACCACGGACCCCTCTGCGGGTGGTGGGCCCACAGGAGGGACTGCCCACGTCATCCCTTCGGGCTGAGCCCGGCCGGGCCCCGTGGGCTAAGGCCCGGCCACCAGGCGCTCGCATACGAGCCCTGACCCCAGGCCTGGCTCCAGGGTGGGGCCCCGGCTGCGCCATGCCGGGCGACGTCACTGCTCTCATTATAGTGCGATCCATGGTGGTTTTTGGACTGCGCTTCGTCTGACTCGTCACTTGAGACCTGTCTGCCATGGGAGGCCCTACCAGGGGCATGAAGCCCCAGACAGCATAGCTCCCAGGATCATCTGAGTGCTCAAACTCCCCCACCACGTTAAGGTGGCAGTCCAGGGGGGAGTAAAAATATGATACAAAGTAAAAATAATGAGATAGAATAGTAGATACAGAAAGACAAAGCAGACTGTAAAATACAAAATGTGTTATACAAAGTTTAAAAGGAAGCTTTAAAAGTTTTATTAAAGCAGGTTTTAAGAAGACATTTAAAAGAGGAGACTGATGGAGCTTTATCTCCTCGGGCAGATGGTTCCAAAGTCGAGGAGCACGGACAGAGAAGGCTCGGCCTCGGAACAGTCCACAGGGACCTGCCCGAGACCTGAGGCTGCGGGGGAAGGGCTCGTCGGGGGTTCAAAGTTCACAGATAGAGCTGGGTTTGAAAGTATAATCAGTAAACTTGCCTTCTCCCAGCTTCCCTCACTCTAAAAACACACAAACCATGCCATACCAAACCTGTCCAGCTCCGATTATAAACACAGAAAGCAAACTATTTATAATATTCAAAAACGATGAGACTGGTTTAGTTTAGTTTAGTTATTTATTCAAAAGGACAACGGACAGGTACATCAAAAAAATGGCTGCCCCAGATTAAGCACAATGCTAATTTCCATCTGTAGTCCTTATACAATCAAAAATACAATTAAAATACATAGCAGAGTTAATTAAAATACAAAACATAGACAATAAACATGCAATATATAGTAAAAGTGCAGATGAAAAGTGCCGGTTGCATTCATAAAGTGCAGAATGACAAAGTGCAACAGTTTTCATAATTATTTTGTAGATATACATAATTAGCACATAGATACAATAGTTTTTAACACTAATAATGTGCTGATGTGGTGGATTGATAAGATAAGATAAGATAAGATAAGATAAGATAAGATAAACCTTTATTAGTCTCACAGTGGAGAAATGTCAGTGTCATCGTTGCACATTACAGCAGAGAAAGGAAATTTAAGATAAAATAAAATAAGAAAATCTGGGCTACAATTGCACTTGGTTCGGAGTATTTACAGATGTCTATATTATACATTAGCAGCGGAGAATATGAGAATATAAGAATATGAGCAGTTCCGCTGGACGCCTGGAACACAATGGGGCTCTTTAATCTTGCCTTATCCCCACAGTCTGCTCAGCTGCTGCTGCTTCCAGAGATCCCAGGTGTAAGACATGATGGATTCCCTGTAACAGAGCAAATACATCACAGCGGGCGATACTCCGGGCGATACTCCGGGGCCCGAGAACGCCTCTGTCCGTCAGCCGCTGTGAGTTAGGCTTTGGTGTGTTGCAACGTTCTCATCCGCCAAAAGTTCAGCCGGAGCGGAAGAACCTGACCCAGGACCGTCCAGGACCGTGCTCCGATCCAGGTCACAGGAGTTTGGAGGAAGAAAAGAATTGGAAAAGTTTGCTGTTTGGATCATACTACCCTGGTCTTAGCAACTCTGGTCCATGATCATCTCCTACATGTACGTCTGGTCTTACCATGTGTGAACTCTGGTCCATGATCATTTCCTACATGTACATCTGGTCTTACCATGTGTAAACTCTGGTCCATGATCATTTCCTACATGTACGTCTGGTCTTACCATGTGTAAACTCTGGTCCATGATCATTTCCTACATGTACGTCTGGTCTTACCATGTGTAAACTCTGGTCCATGATCATTTCCTACATGTACATCTGGTCTTACCATGTGTAAACTCTGGTCCATGATCATTTCCTACATGTACATCTGGTCTTACCATGTGTAAACTCTGGTCCATGATCATTTCCTACATGTACGTCTGGTCTTACCATGTGTTAACTCTGGTCCATGATCATTTCCTACATGTACGTCTGGTCTTACCATGTGTTAACTCTGGTCCATGGTCATCTCCTACATGTACGTCTGGGTTTGATCCTAGTGGCTGCAGTTTCCTCGGTTGAATCCCCTCCGACCAATCAGAGAGCGGGGGAGGCGGGTGTTGTAGGTCGGTGTCGGTGACGTCCAGAGTTTGTCACTTGTTCCTCTGGTTTGTCAATGTCCTCAAATCTTCTCCACCCCAGTCTCTGTGTGTGTCTGTGTGTGTGTCTGTGTGTGTCTGTGTGTGTCTCTGTGTGTGTCTGTGTGTGTCTGTGGTGTGTCTGTGGTGTGTGTCTGTGGTGTGTGTCTGTGGTGTCTCTGTGTGTGTGTGTCTGTGGTGTGTCTGTGGTGTGTGTCTGTGGTGTGTGTCTGTGGTGTCTCTGTGTGTGTGTGTCTGTGTGTGTCTGTGGTGTGTGTCTGCGGTGTGTGTCTGTAGTGTGATATACAGTGTGTGATGCGGTGTCTGTCTATTGTGTGTATAGTGTCTGTCTGCGGTGTGTGATGCAGCATGTGTGTAGTGTGGGTCTGCGGTGTGTGTCTGTAGTGTGTTATGTAGTGTGTGATGCGGTGTCTGTCTATTGTGTGTCTGTAGTGTGTGTCTGCGGTGTGTGTCTGTGTGTGTCTGTAGTGTGTGTCTGCGGTGTGTGTCTGTGTGTGTCTGCGGTGTGTGTCTGTGTGTGTGTGTGTCTGTGTGTGTCTATTGTGTGTAAAGTGTCTGTCTGCGGTGTGTGATGCAGCATGTGTGTAGTGTGGGTCTGCGGTGTGTGTGTCTGTAGTGTGTTATGTAGTGTGTGATGCGGTGTCTGTCTATTGTGTGTCTGTAGTGTGTGTCTGCGGTGTGTGTCTGTAGTGTGTGTCTGTAGTGTGTGTCTGCGGTGTGTGTCTGTGTGCGTCCATAGTGTGTGTCTGCGGTGTGTTATACAGCGTGTTTCTGTAGTGTGGGCCTTCAGTGTGTGTCTGCGGTGTGTGTCTGTGTGTGTCTGCGGTGTGTGTCTGTGTGTGTCTGCGGTGTGTTATACAGCGTGTTTCTGTAGTGTGGGCCTTCAGTGTGTGTCTGTGGTGTGTGTCTGTGGTGTGTGTCTGTGGTGTGTGTCTGTGGAGGTGTTGATCCGTGTTGCATCAGGACGTCTCTGACAGCCGTCCACCTGCAGCCGCTCTGTGCCGCTCTGTGCCGCTCTGTGCCGCTGCTCTGTGCCGCTCTGTGCCGCTGCTCTGTGCCGCTTTGTGCCGCTCTGTGCCGCTCTGTGCCGCTCTGTGCCGCTCTGTGCCGCTGCTCTGTGCCGCTCTGTGCCGCTCTGTGCCGCTCTGTGCCGCTCTGTGCCGCTCTGTGCAGGAAGCAGAGGATGTGAGGAAAGTTAAGCTACTTCCACCGTTCAACTGTAGAAGATTGTGTTTCATTTTCTTCTTCCCGACCGGGATCTAACCTACTTTCTGTTCAAAGAGAGGTTTATGGTCAAAAGAATTCAATCCAATTCAATGTTTGTAAATCGCCCTAAATCACAGCAGCAGCCGTCTCTCAGGATAAGCCAAAGTTGTTCATTTATTTATTTTAATTTTGAACCTGCATATACTTTTCCATACTGTATATCAACAGAAAATAACTTGGACTTGTTTAATTACCAACAACTGTTTATGTAAGTTGAATTTTTGTTAGTATTATTTGTTTTGTTGTATTCTGTGTTCTGTTTTTGTGTTTTGAATGTAATAATTTCTGTTTCTCACATGTGACGCCAAGGAGCGAAATGTTTTTTTCAAAATGTATGTGAGACAACGACTCCAGGAAGAATAGCTGTTTTTATACAGCTAATGGAGATAATAATAAATACAAAAACAACAGATCAGAGAATTCAAGTCATAGAAGTCATTGGTCCATAAGGAGCGGGACCAACACTGGCGGCTGTGGATAGCACTCTCGCCTCTCAGCAAGAAGGTCCTGGGTTCGAATCCCGGTCGGACCAGGGCCTTTCTGAGTGGAGTTTGCATGTTCTCCCCGTGTCTGCGTAGGTTTCCTCCGGGTACTCCGGTTTCCCCTACCACAAAAAATATGTCCAATAGTTCTGGCATGCGCCTCCTGTACTGGCCCCGCTCCCATCTCTGTGTGGAGTGAGAGACAATTGCACAAAAATTAACAATTGTAAACCGCTTTGAGACTCAGATCTGCAGTGAAAAGGCGGTATATAAATAAATAAATAAAGATTACTTACACTGTCTGTACACCTCCATAAATGTGCTTAAAAGAACCAGGACTTTATTGACCCCTGTTGGAGACATGCAGGTGTCCAGTATCAGCAGAAACACATCCATCTAAACAAGCAAAACAAACAAGTACATCATCCTAAAAGCAGATAACAATAGTAATAAAAAGCAGCAGCAGCAGCAGAGGAGGCAGAGTTGCAGACAGAGGGGGAGGTGCGGCCCACAACACATCCATCAATCAAAATACATTTGTACAGGACTTTCCAACAGCCCAAAAAGCTGCTCCACAAAGGCAGTATAACAGTGATAATAACACAGAGCTCTGGTCCCTGTGTCTGAAGCCTCTGTCTGCAGGTCAGATGGACATTGGTCTCTCCACATGGACCAATACATTTGTGTGTATTTCTGTGTCTTAACTGTTGATTCTCTGATCTGTGTTGGTGATTTCAACGGTTTTGTTCAGTCTCTGAGATGATACTGTTGTGATTTAGGGCGATACAAGAATAAATTGTATTGTATAGATTGTGGAGACTGACATTTCCGTTTGGGGCTCACAGTTCCGGAGGGAGGCAGGTCCAGAACCCCACTTCTTAAAATGAGATTTCAGAACGACCGAAGAGCACAAGACTGAGGAGTGCCTTGAAATCCACCCTGAGCTAAACAGAACAGGGCCTGAAAACAGCGGCAGTATATTCAACATCCTGCAGCTCGAGTCCTGACTAGAACCAGGAAGTACCATAACACTAGTCCTGGTCTCAGGTCTCTGCTTCCTGTAGCTCAAAGTGCAGCTGTGACTCTGTGTGGACCAGGCCTGGGTTTCATTTTTGGCTCCTCCTATCTACATGATGTTGGTGGGTGGCATTCCCAGACCAAGAAGGCTAGTCACAAGCTAGCTCCCACCTGTATACACCGCAGGTCACTCTTGATTGGTCAGTTAGGGGTGAGGGCATTGTCCCTAACAATGCTAACCTAATAACTCTTTTCAGTGTTTTTTTCAGTGTTATTTCCATCTTTACATGTTTTACCACAGATTATTGTACACACTCTAAGTACACTTGTCCTATATCAAAAAAAGACTTGTCCTGTATTAAAGGTGTTTTCTCCGCCTCTCTCCAGTGACCGCCACCGGGACCGTGCCCACCACGGTGCTGTCGTACTCGGACTACATCTCCCGAGCCGAGGACCACCATAGTCTGCTGCGCTTCGACCGTGGCGAGGAGGAGAAGGCCTGTCGCGTCCTCATCATCGACGACTCTCTGTACGAGGACGAGGAGAGCTTCAACGTGAGCCTGAGCACGCCGATGGGCGGCGGCGTGGGGCGGCGCTACTCCAGCACACGGGTCAACATCGTGCCCGACATGGACGACGGTAAGACACGCTTCATTCATCTGTTTATGAACTGTACCAATGTGTTACGAAAAAGTCCCGTTTCTGCTGAATGATCGGACTCTTGTGTTGTTTGTCCAGTGGAGGGCGCTCTACTGAAACACAGAGTCCTTCACCACGGACACACAACCGCAGATACACAACCACAGACACACAACCGCAGATACACAACCACAGATACACAACCACAGACACACAACCGCAGACACACAACCGCAGACACACAACCGCAGACACACAACCGCAGACACACAACCGCAGACACACAACCGCAGACACACAACCGCAGACACACAACCGCAGACACACAACCGCAGACACACAACCACAGATACACAACCGCAGATACACAACCGCAGACACACAACCGCAGACACACAACCGCAGACACACAACCCCAGACACACAACCGCAGACACACAACCGCAGACACACAACCGTAGACACACAACCCCAGATACACAACCACAGACACACAACCACAGATACACAACCACAGATACACAACCACAGACACACAACCACAGATACACAACCACAGACACACAACCACAGATACACAACCACAGACACACAACCGCAGATACACAACCGCAGACACACAACCGCAGACACACAACCGCAGACACACAACCACAGACACACAACCACAGACACACAACCACAGACACACAACCACAGACACACAACCACAGATACACAACCACAGATACACAACCACAGACACACAACCACAGACACACAACCACAGACACACAGCCACAGACACAAAACCACAGATACACAACCACAGACACACAACCACAGACACACAACCACAGACACACAACCACAGACACACAACCACAGACACACAACCACAGACACACAACCACAGACACAAAACCACAGATACACAACCACAGACACACAACCACAGACACACAACCACAGATACACAACCACAGACACACAACCACAGATACACAACCACAGACACACAACCACAGATACACAACCACAGACACACAACCACAGATACACAACCACAGATACACAACCACAGACACACAACCACAGATACACAACCACAGACACACAACCACAGATACACAACCACAGACACACAGCCACAGACACAAAACCACAGATACACAACCACAGACACACAACCACAGACACACAACCACAGACACACAACCACAGACACACAACCACAGACACACAACCACAGACACAAAACCACAGATACACAACCACAGACACACAACCACAGACACACAACCACAGATACACAACCACAGACACACAACCACAGATACACAACCACAGACACACAACCACAGATACACAACCACAGACACACAACCACAGATACACAACCACAGATACACAACCACAGACACACAACCACAGATACACAACCACAGACACACAACCACAGATACACAACCACAGATACACAACCACAGACACACAACCACAGACACTAATGGTGCTTTCAGACGCCAACGCTGAAACGCTGAAGCCTCGCTCACCAGACACACATTCTCTAGTTTTCAGACGCAGAGGACTTCACACCAGAACGTCCGGACCAGCACCGGAAGTGGCGGAAGTAGTCGGCTCTGATGCTAACAGAGCTATGCTAGCGGCTTCTTGTGTACAGATCTTCTCCAATAATGCAGCTTTGCAGCGTGTCTGTGTCTGAGACCTTCCACGGACTTTATATAACAGCAGTATGTGTTCACGGAGGTGACTTTATATAACAGCAGTATGTGTTCACGGAGGTGACTTTATATAACAGCAGTATGTGTTCACAGTGACTTTATATAACAGCAGTATGTGTTCACGGAGGTGACTTTATATAACAGCAGTATGTGTTCACGGAGGTGACTTTATATAACAGCAGTATGTGTTCACGGAGGTGACTTTATATAACAGCAGTATGTGTTCACGGAGGTGACTTTATATAACAGCAGTATGTGTTCATGGAGGTGACTTTATATAACAGCAGTATGTGTTCACTGAGGTGACTTTATATAACAGCAGTATGTGTTCACGGAGGTGACTTTATATAACAGCAGTATGTGTTCACGGAGGTGACTTTATATAACAGCAGTATGTGTTCACGGAGGTGACTTTATATAACAGCAGTATGTGTTCACGGAGGTGACTTTATATAACAGCAGTATGTGTTCACGGAGGTGACTTTATATAACAGCAGTATGTGTTCACGGAGGTGACTTTATATAACAGCAGTATGTGTTCACGGAGGCCACCATTGACTTTGCATTGAAAGCCGACGCATGATCCGGTCTGAACCATATACTGTATATATTAACGGACAGAGTCACGCCTATCTCCGCCGTTCTAACTAATGGGCCAAAAGATTTGCTCTACTGGAGCAATCCAAAATGGCCGTGAGTGGTCCCGCCCACAAGAAAATGGTGAAAAAACGCATCTGCACATGCGTCAGCCGGAGCAGCTCCATTCATTTGAACGAGAGACTTGGACCAAAACACTCCCTCAGCATTGACACACATGTGGAACGGAGCTTTGGGCCAAGAGACAACTTTTGGTCCATCCTGTAAAGACGTTTTCCAGAGGTCTGCCAACGCTATATGTTAGCATTGGCTAATTCTTATTCTGGGTCCACCCCCATCGGCCCGGGGTGGTATTGCAGCATGTGGGACCCTCCCCCACTGGTCTGGACGCACCATTAGTCTTATACTGAGGCCAGTGCCAGTCAGGGGATGGAGCCAAAATGTGTTGCTGTTGATTTAGAACCTAAAGATCTTTTTTTACTTCGCACAAAGAGATACTATTTCATTTCATTTTTTTTCTCATTTCATTTTCAACCCCTTTGTCCATTTCTGGGTCGGGGAGGGGGGGGGCAATGAGAGCTGCCACCCAACGCTCATAGCACCAGTCCCTCGCTGGTGGAGTAGGTCCCATGGTGGGAATCGCACTCACGGTCTCCAGGCCCAAAGGCCAATGCTCTACCAACTGAGCTACTGTCGCCCCCGAGATACTATTACGCAGTGATTATAAATAAGAATAAGTCCGACACGAGGAGAGCAGTGGGGCATTAATGAGGACATTTTCCCATGTACCGTCAGCTTTGATCAGCTTTTATCAGCTTTGATCAGATTCGTGTTGGAGGCACTGCGTCATAATGTCCTCTGGAACAGACTTTGCTCTCAGCCTTTCTGTTGTTGTTTTCCTGAATACATTGATGCACATTATATTGTGTGAGGGTCCATGGTAACACAGCCCCCCCCCCCGGGTTTGATTGGTCCGAAGATACGTCCCACAGAAAAGGACTGAAGCAACATTTCTGTCTCAATTTTACTGCTTTCTAGTGTTTTCTTTCTAACAAGGGTTTGTATGTTTTGTGATTTGTATCTTCAACGAAGGAGCCTGGATATACAGATACAAGTATGATAACGACAAGACTCCCCCTGATCAGAAGTTTCCACCCCCCTGTGTTGACAATGCATTGGTCCATTTCTGGGTCGGGGGTGGCAATGAGAGCTGTCACCTAATGCTCACAGCACCAGTCCCTCTGATCCTCTGCAGGGGGTGAGTCCATGGGAAGATGGCCGCTACATCAGTGGTGCCACAGTCTTGGTCTTTCAGCGGGGGCTTCAGGCAACGTGGGGTTAAGTGTCTTGCCCAAGGACACAACAACAGCAGACATCAGTGGGAGCGGGTCCCGTGATGGGCTCGAACCCACGACCTTCCAGCTCAAAGGCAATGCTACTGTCGCCCATACAATACATTACAGTGTATTCTTCGCCCTAAATCACAACAGCATCATCTCAGAGACTTAACAAAACCATTGAAATCACAGATCAGAGAATCAACAGTTAAGACACAAAAAGAATATAGAACACATGTTGATAAATGTTATTAATGTTGTAGAATATTCAAGTGTCTGGATTATCACAGTCCTTCTTAGACACTAACTGACTCCAACAGACTCCTGCATCAGAAGAAAAACTCTGAAACCCAGTGGGAGAAAAGTGAGAAACCTCAGATCCACAGAGAGAGAGATCCACTCCACACAGACAGGACTCAGACTGTAGAACGAGGACTGAGGCTGTAGATCCAGGACTCAGACTGTAGAACGAGGACTGAGGCTGTAGATCCAGGACTGAGGCTTTAGATCCAGGACTCAGACTGTAGAACGAGGACTGAGGCTGTAGATCCAGGACTCAGACTGTAGAACGAGGACTGAGGCTTTAGATCCAGGACTGAGGCTTTAGATCCAGGACTCAGACTGTAGAACGAGGACTGAGGCTGTAGATCCAGGACTCAGACTGTAGAACGAGGACTGAGGCTGTAGATCCAGGACTCAGACTGTAGAACGAGGACTGAGGCTGTAGATCCAGGACTGAGGCTGTAGATCCAGGACTGAGGCTGTAGATCCAGGACTGAGGCTGTAGATCCAGGACTGAGGCTGTAGATCCAGGACTCAGACTGTAGAACGAGGACTGAAGCTGTCGATCCAGGACTCAGACTGTAGAACGAGGACTGAGGCTGTAGATCCAGGACTCAGACTGTAGAACGAGGACAGAGGCTGTAGATCCAGGACTCAGACTGTAGAACGAGGACTGAGGCTGTAGATCCAGGACTGAGGCTGTAGATCCAGGACTCAGACTGTAGAACGAGGACTGAGGCTGTAGACCCAGGACTGAGGCTGTAGAACGAGGACTGAGGCTGTAGACCCAGGACTGAGGCTGTAGATCCAGGACTCAGACTGTAGAATGAGGACTGAAGCTGTAGATCCAGGACTCAGACTGTAGAACGAGGACTGAGGCTGTAGACCCAGGACTCAGACTGTAGAACGAGGACAGAGGCCAGGCAGCGGTCGCAGGACGTGGACAGGTCCGGTGCAGGTCTGAAGCAGCTCCAGGCGGGTCGGGCGGGTCGGGCGTGGCGGTCTGCAGGTGTCGCAGCAGCTCCAGGCGGGTCGGGCGGGTCGGTCTGCAGGTGTCGCAGCAGCCACGGCGAGTGTTTGTTTCCTGTATTTGAACTGTTTGATTCTCTGATCTGTGTTTGGCAAATCAACACTTTTGTACAGTCTTCTGAGATAACTACTGTTGTGATCTCTGGCCACACAAAAACACCTTGAATCCAATTGAAAAGAACTGTCTTCTTCTTATCAATGAAAGTGTCTTAGTTATCGTTACAAAATGTGTCTAGTGTAAACAACACTACAAACAAATACCCGTGTGGGTATTGGGGCGACAGTGGCTCAGTTGTAGAGCATTGGTCTTTGAGCCAGAAGGTCTTGGGTTCGAGCCCACCACAAGACTTTCTCCACCGACTCCCACTGTCTGCTGTCGTTGTGTCCTTGGGCAAGACACTGAACCTCTGAGAACAGCAGGTGCCACAGTGGGGCGGCTGTAAAGTGCAAACTGCCGTTGTGTCCTTTGGCAAGACACTTCCCCCACATTAGAATGAGTGTGGTGTGTGTGTGAATGGTTGGTGGTGGTGGGAGGGGCCGATGGCACAGACTGGTTGCCTCGCTTCTGTCAGTGTGCCCCAGGGCAGCTGTGGCTACAGTAGTAGTTTATCACCACCGACATGTGAAGCGCTGTATAAAACCGATGCATTATTATTATTATTATTATATACGGGGGCGACAGTAGCTCAGTTGGTAGAGCATTGGCCTTCAGGGCTGAAGGTTGTGGGTTCATCTCCCACCTCTACACCTTCTCCACCGACTCCCACTGATGACTGCTGTCATTGTGTCCTTGGGCAAGACACTTAACCCCACTTTGCCCAAAGCCCCCACTGAAATATCAAGGCTATGCTCACAGTCAGAGAGCAGCCGTCCTCCTGTGGACTCACCACCTGCAGAGGGTCAGTGAGGGGCTGGTGCTATGAGACTTGGGTGGTATCTCTGACTGCCACCCCCCTGACCCAGAAATGGATTAAAGGGAAGAAAATGGATGGATGGATGGTTTTGCTCTCTTGGTTCCTGGCGCAGGGCGGGGTTTGGGGTCTCTCTGGGGTTTTATCTCCCATCTCCAGCCACAGAGCAGAGAAACCCCTCACTCTCTCTCCTCTCCCTCCCTTCTTTCCCTCCTCATCCTCCTTCCCCCCTCTCCCTCCTCTCCCTCTCTCTCCCTCCTCCCCTCTCTCCCCTCTCTCTCTCTCCCCTCTCTCCCCCTCCCTCCTCTCTCTCCCTCCTCTCCTCTCTCTCCCTCCTCTCCCCCCTCTCTCCCTCCCCCTCTCCTCCTCCCCCTCTCTCCCCTCTCCCTCTCTCTCTCTCCTCTCTCTCCCTCCTCTCCTCTCCCTCTCTCTCCTCTCCCTCCCCTCTCTCCCCTCTCCTCCCCTCTCCTCTATCTCCCTCCTCTCCCCCCCCCCCCCCTCTCCCTCCTCCCTGTCTCTACCTCACTCGTTATCACCCCATCCACACAAACCCTCCCCTTCCATCTCTCTCTCTCTCTCCCCCCCCCTCCCCTCTCCTCTCCCTCT